CATGGCAATAATCAATTGTAGCTATTACCGTTAGTACTAGGACTTGACAGTTAATAAAACTGAAACTCAATGAAAGTAAATGTTTTGACCAAGGGACTAGAACAAAGAAAAATCTGTCTGGATTTCAACCCAAGTTTGTCATTTTCTGAAATTATTTTATACTTTCGCCTTTCAGGTATTGCTAGCTTTGTTCTTTGGAAACAAATATCAACTGGTAATAACCTTTGTGACCTGGGTGCTTGTATATTGTACTCCATTCTTAAACTTGTGGATGGGTATTTCTCAACCAAGGGAATACCTCTAGTGATCAATTAAAAAGTTAAAACTATATTGTCAGTATGCACTTAAAAATCTCATAATATGTCATAACATCTGTATGTGTGAGAGAGATTTCAGTACATAATCCATGATGTTCCCTAACTTGAAACAAAAAGACTTAATAACTCAGGGAAATGTATGTAATTATCAGGGAAATCAAAACCAGAATTTTCAATTTTCAATCTTTTTTTCCATTCATTAATTACTTTTAAATCAAATACATAGAGACCATTATTAGGCACTTAATATTTTAGAATCAGCACTCTAGAGAAAATAGTTATTGCAAAAACATTTTGCATTTGCATCTTTAGTTTCCTGTTGGCTGCCAAGTAAATCTCTATGTTGAGACCAATCCAAGAATTTGCCTCATTACATACAGTGGTTTCTCAGTAAAAATGATAAAGCAAATGTCCATTAACAGAAAATAATTCTCCAAATAGAAGCCAAACTCTCACATTCTCAAAGGAAAAAATAAACTTTCCCCCAGTGATTTTCTCATTCCTCTTTTCTTTTTATATCTCATGATTTTTAAAGAAAAATGACTGCTCAGTAATGCTTAGGGGATAAACATTCCTAGTAATGCAGCATTCTTGTGCTGAGCGTTGACATGTGTTGCATGGATCTAGGGGTCCTGAGTCTGAGATCTGTTTCTTCAACTAATCAAGTGTTTCAACTTGGGATGCTGGTTGTACACTGTGAGAGACTTTCTATTGTACCAAGTTTAGACCTGACTATCTGTTGCCCTTCTCAAAAAAAATCCAGAAATGCAAAAACATTAGTCACCCATATATACAAAGTTAAATTAAAGCTGCTAGGCAGAAATAGTACAAACTGAAAGTCTCCTGGGTCCATGAATCTTTTTCTATCTTTCACCATCATTTCTAATAGATCTAATTCAGTGATATATTACAATGCATACAGTTGGTGACCATATAGTATGTGACATTGAAATATGTATTAGCTTACTTTTTTTTTTTTTTTTTTTTTTACAATAGGCAAGATGAGAGAGTGAGTGAATGACATCTTAGGACAAACAACTTGACCAAGTTCAAATATCCACGATAACCTAAGACAGCCATTCTGGCAACCTAACACATGACTCTAAGTCCCAGGCCCATGCACTCTCTACTGTATCATGCTGTTATCTTATACTAGATTAAGAGTGAGGCACATCCCAGCCTTACCTCTCAGGAGTGAGGATAGAGGTAGAATTCACCTCACCATTCCTAACTAATAACTGAATAGTTATTTATTTTACATCTTGGTATTCAACACTTCCAAATTTGGTACATTGCTTGTATTATTTTTTTAATTGCTGTCTTGTCTTTGCCAAGATAAGCAACGCCAAGGACATAATAGATTTTCAAGGTAAACAAGAGTAAGATGGTTAAAACTGCAGCGAGGATCCAGTGAGTCATAAGGAGCCTTCATGGCTTTGTAAATTTTACAGACAGGAGCTGGCCAGGGTCTCCCATAAATACTGGAGAAATGTGTCTTTGTGCTTCTTTCAGCAAGAGGGGATAAGGGATAATTTCTAGTACATCAGTATACTGTAGCTTTAAAAAATATCTGTCCCTAGAAGAAACTAATAAATTAAAGTCTAACTTGCAAGGGTTTTATCTTAGTCCAACAGTCAAGGGAAAAGAGATACTATCTCAACTCCAACCCAAACTGGCCACCGTGTGTGCACGTGTGTGTGTGTGTGTGTGTGTGTGTGTGTGTGTGTGTGTGTGTGTGTGTGTACTGGGAAGCCCACAATTTTAGGTCATAGGATCCCTAAAAGAATGAGGGAGGTTGGAGGTAAAAGGGCAGAGGAAGGATATGAAGGGATAGGGAGATGAACAGGATCAGGACGCATGATGTGAAATCCCCAAAGAATAAATAAAATGTTTTTAAAAAAATTTCAAAACAGCATTAACAACAGACAAACTCTTGAGATCTCTTAGTTCAATACAGTCAGGTTTCAAGATTCAGAGTGAATATACATAAGTCAATCATTCTATTAGATACCAGTAATGCACAGGTGAAATCTTAATTAAAATCAATGCCATTTGCATCAGCACTACTAAAAATGAAATGTCAGACTTAGCCATAAATCTAATAAGATATCTGCAAGATATGCATATGACTATGAAATTCTGTTGAAAGAAATCAAGGGCTAAGTAAATGAACAGAGAAACATTCCATGTCTATGGATAGGAAGACTCACTACTGTCAAAGTTTTAGATCTTACCAAGTTGACATATCGATGATACATCCCCAATAAAATATTTTGAAAAGTAAACTTTTAGATCTCAACAAACTTATTGTAAGTTTGTATGGAAAAGAAAAAGACCTGTGCAAGGCAATACAATATTAATGTGAAACTGTACTCAGCTTCAGACTTACTACAAGCTTAACAACAATCAAGACAGCATGGTGAAGGTGAAGGAAGAGAAAAGATCAATGAGAAGGAATAGACAGTTACATGTGACCTTTGCCAAAGAAGCAAGGGTAACAAAACATAGCAAAGACAAAGCTTTAAGCGATCCAATTGGAATACTAGGAGAGCTGCACACCCAAGCAAATTAACCCTGCCACAGACCTTACTGCTCAGAGATGAACTAAAATCGATTGCAAACCTAAATGAAAAACACAAAGTTTTAAAAACCCTAGCATATTATGTAAGATAAAACTTGGATGGTCTCATATACAGCAGTGGCATTGTAGATAAACATCAAAGTCACAAAGCACTCCATGACTGATGAGATAGACGTCATTAAACTTCAGTGTCTAAGCTTTGAAAGAGACATTGTCAAGAGAATGCAAAGAGAAATAGGCAGTGATGATATATCTGCAAAAGATGTAAGAATTGTTATGTGAAATATGTGAGTAAATCTTAGAAACAATAAACAGTATGAAGCAAGCATCTTGGTTTTAGAACAATAGACATGCCATCAAACAAAACATAAGCTGGCCAGGAAGCATAGAGCATGTTCTCCACATAATATGTCATCTGGGAAATGCACATTCAAATGAGATACCACCATATTCCTGATAGAATGACAAAGTTCAGAACATAATGCCATCAAATGCTGGGGAGGATAAGAAGTAAGAAAGCTATTCTCCATTGCTGGTGTGAACACAAAGATGCAATGGCTAGAGAGATAGCTTAGTGGCTAAGGAAACATACTGATCTTTCAAAGGACCCAGTTTAAATTCCTAGTACCCACACATCAGCTCACAACCATCTCTAACCCCAGCTCCAGGGAACTCTGATTCCCTCTTCTGGTTTCTATGGTTACTAGGCACTCACATAGTACACACAGATAAATACATAGTACACATAGTACACATCCAGGCAAACATTTATATATGTAAGTTTAAAAAAATCTTTAGAAAAATAAATTGGCTATCAAGACATGAAACAACATAGAAAACATTTAAATACATATTACTAACTGAAAAACATTCCAACTTGTAAACAGAACATACTAATGAGTCTAACTATATGATATTATCAAATGAAAAACTAGAGATCTAATAGCAGATATTGAGAGGAGGGAGAGATGAATAAGTAAATCACAGATGATTGTGGAGAAATGCAACTATTTTTTGTTCCTTACATTTGTTCAAACCCAAAGAATGACCCCTAGATATAAACTTTATATTCTAGGTGATAACAATCTGCTTATAAAGTTCACCAACTATATCAAATGCACCATGTTTATAAAGAGGAAGGCTGTCCATTGGTGGAAGCAGGAAACAGAAATCTCTGCACGCCCCTCTCAAATTTTCCACAAACCTGAAATGCTTTAAAAGTTGTATTTCAGATCCATGAGACGGCTCAGCAGGTGTATGTGCCTGCTGCCTGACAACAGATTTCAATTGCTGGAATCCACATGACAAGTGGAAGGAGAGAAGTGACTCTTGCAAGTTGTCCTCTGACCTCTACACATGTACTGCAGCATGCACCCAAATGAATAAATAAATAAATAAATAAATAACATGCTATTTTTTTTTAAAAATTTAATGTTGCTTTTTAAAAAACAATAAAGAACATTAATGAAATCGATGATCATTCAGCCTAATTTGCAGAATCTCAATACTCAGCACCAGCATCATCAGCAGCAATTTCTGGGAGTATACCAATTTTAGAAGTTCCAACAATTGATCTTTGTACTTGCTTACTCTAAGGCACAGTCACCTCATCACTGTCCGTAAAGCAACTTGTATTTGCAGAACACCTGGCAGGTGTTGATGAGGATTCTTTACATGTCATCCAATTTCATTTCCTGCCCTCACAAATAGATATCTGGCTCATGTTTGACCCATGTGAACTCTCAATCTCAGAGATGCCAAGCAATGCCCTTGCTATTACTCAGCATATCAGTAGAAATTAAAGCAAAGGAATTAAAGCAAAATTGAGTCAATGACACTTTAAAGATTTCAAACAGAAGAAAAAGAGTCTGCAAATTTGTACCATTTCTCAAAGGGCTAGTTCTTTCTAACAATTACTTCAAGTTTTTCTACTAAGGTAAAGACCTGACTCCAGGAAGCATATTTTGTTCAATTCTGTGTGTTCTTATGTTCTTAGCTTCACTGTGTAGCAGTTATTGCTGCAATCCAGTTCCTGCAAAATAACTTACAAACTAGAGCACAGGAATCTAGATTAACTTTGAACTGAGGAGAAAGGGCCAAACCTTCGTGCTATTGCCAAACCACCAGAAGTAGGTAAGGGTCCCCATTTGACTGGGCCACACAACTGCACTGATGTTCACATCCTTGTTTCTTATGGTGACAAATGGAACTCGAAGGTGAACGTGTTCCACTGGACCTAAAGGAAAAAGGGGGAAAGACAGTGTTTATGTTCCCAGAACAATCCATCAACTTTTCCACAGCCTTGACTTTTAATCTCTATCTTTATGCCCATACCTCTAAACAAAAAAACAATGATCACAAATCCTAAAATGCTGGGGTATGTGTGTGTGTGTGTGTGTGTGTGTGTGTGTGTGTGTGTGTGTGTGTGTGTTCTTTAATTGTAGCAGAAGGTGTAACAGGAAATTCAAATTAAGTTTCTGATTTCTTGAGTAACAGATAAAATGAATTTACATCTGGTGAGCCCATCTACCTTGAATACTTATGAACCTCCAGTCCAAGGACAAAGCTAGTTTACTAGACACTTAGCCATTAAATAGGATGATAAACAGCAGTCTGTTTTATTTTTGAGAATTGGCCCATTTTGTGACTTGAAGTCAGTGAATTGTATGGAAGGCTCCTCCATTATCCTCAGTTGCTAATTGGTTTCTGTCCAGTTTAACAATTGGCCATTGTGCCTCATCATCTGGAGGACAAACTGAGTGCCACTCAGAGGCGTGCACGGCCACTTTATAGAGAGGGAGGAACACAGCTGCCTGTGAAGGAGAAGCAAATGTCAGGTTCCCAAATGATAATAATGCAGCTCCTCCCCTTGTCTCCGAAACCATAAACAGCACTGTGCTCTATGCTGCACCATCCAGCAGAGGAATATCCATGAATACAGCCTAGGTGGAAATGAGACTATTCACTTAATCTAAAAGAGAGGAGAGAGAAATACCAACAGAGAATCATTTGTATATTAATTTTACATCTGTAATATTCTGTTTTTAAGACTTATCAGATATTCTCTTCCTGTCATTTGTGACAACATCTATGGGCCCAGATGATACTATTTTAGGAGAGTTAAACTAAGCACCGAGTGATGGGTATCATACAATCTCACAAACATGTGGGATCTATGAGGTCACAAAAGTAAGCAACAGAAAATATTGGCTGTCAGAGGATGACACAGGTGGGTGGGGGAGATGTTGGTCAAAGATATGAAATACATTTTAGAAGTCTATTGTACTCTGATGGAAACCATAGTTAATTACCTGTATTACATTTGGAAAATCTTTAAAAACAAATTTTAAGAGTTCTTACCATTAAAAAAGTAACTTGGGGATATAATGTTTGTGATAATTAGCCTAATGGAGCCACCACACAATTTATGTGTGTTTGAGAAACATGCTGTACATGATTAACATATGATTTCTGTCAGTTTAAAGATAAAATGAAGAAAAAAAATCAAAAGTGTTCATTCATCTATAGCTTGAAAATACTTTCTGCCTACAGCTCTCTGCCCTGACTCCAGACATACGGCACCTCAAGATTCTTTACCAGCACATAATTTCAACCTTGGCACTTCATGTACACACTTGGCTGACACTTTAATTATTTAAATGAGCAAATTTGAATTATTTTTACATGGTCTGCCTGAGGTCAGCCACAAAAAACAAGGTGTGAGAAAACACTGGCAACTTCTCTTCAACATTTTATTTACTCATATTCAGTGGTTAAAGTAAAGAAAATCTCTCAGTGTTTTGTGTTCCTCTGGTCAATGATAGATAGCACACAAGAAAGGTGCTAGCCCAGGAGGGAGAGGAAAATTGTGATGGTATATATCAACACTGCAGAGCCTTATGCCTGGGTCCAGTTCTTCCATTCTTCCCATGTTGGGAAGATGGCTCTTCCACCCTAGAAGCCATTGTTCCTATTTTCACTCCACTCCCCAAGTGGTATGAAGACTCTTCCCAAGCTCCTCATGAGAACCTTAGGATTTAACAGTTTACCCAAACTGTACATGACTGTAATCCTGGAAATCCCTCCCCATCTCTGACACTTGGAAGTCTTGGAGGGCTCCCTGACACCCAAGAAAACAAAATGACTTCCCTGTCCCTAAGATTATATCAGACATGAAATGGGTGGAGCTTCTGTGAATTGACTAACATGGTCCCGTCTATTCCACTTTCAGATCAATTATGTTTGGTCAAAATTAATTACTACAAACAATACCTTAGAGCAGATTTTATTGCGAAGATCCTGAGCCAGATCTTCACTTGAATATGGGGACAGATTATGGAACAGTAAGAAGAGAGCTGAATGGATTGGGAAAGAAAACCTTCCGACACACAGTTTTTCCCCTTTTGATAAAAGTCCAATAATTTGTGCGAAATTGGTTATTATGGGTGGCTAACAACTTCTTTTGTTAGTTAATGGCCCAAGGTGAGGCCAAGAGCAGTTTCCACTGTACTAACTGTCTGGTAAATGCAGCCATGATTGATTTGGAGGGAATTACGCGGACAATAAAAGTCTCAAGGAACATTTCCTCTTTCGTGCACATAACCAACAGTATAAGCCCGTTCCTGGCATATTCTTTTTTCTCTTCTCTCTCTCTCTCTCTCTCTCTCTCTCTCTCTCTCTCTCTCTCTCTCTCTCTCTCTCTCGTGTGTGTGTGTGTGTGTGTGTGTGTGTGTGTGTTAGGATATATTGCTATTTCCAACTGCAGACAAAGCCCCACTCTTGGCTGCATCAGTAACAAGGGTGGCATAAGTCCTTGGACAGAGGAATATAAAGTTATTTTTCTTTCTGTACCTTTATCTTCTTTTTAATTGCAGCAGAAGTATCAGGCAGAAAGGCAAGAGGAAGTACTAATAATTACTGAAACAACCAGTAATGTTTATCATGTGGCAAGCCAGGTGTGAAACATCATGCTCCATACTGTATAGATAAATGTTAACATGCTCCTGAAATTTCCCTCCTTCAGAAAGATCTCTATGCAAGGTTGGCCCTGGACTGTATCTAGGAACTTGGCTTTGAGAGTAACCTTTACCAATAGTTACCTGGGAAGATTGGTTCCCTTGAAAACAATACAGTTTATTCATATCTGCTTTCTCCTAAGAGTTGGAGGTTTGGCATATATCAGACAGATAGGGACTCTGTGACTATCATGAATTTTGGACTCCAAGTCTCTATTAATTTTCTCTGGTAGAAGGCCCCTACATATCATCACTTCTTGTTAAAGCAATCAGCATGCCATATGTGACTGTTTGTGTGTGTGTGCATGTGTGTGCATGTGCATGTGTGTGTGTGTGTGTGTGTGTGTGTGTGTGTGTGGTTTAATATGTGTTTGTATGTGTGTGCATATGTACATGCTTTTAGGTGTGCATATGTGCATGAAACCTAGAGTTTGACATCAGAGATGTTCTTCCCCGCCCGCTGCCTTTGAGACAGGATTGCTCCCTGAACTTGGCACTCATTGATGTGATTAAGCAAATTTGTCAAAAAGTCTCATAGATCCACCAGTCTTCACATGACCCTACCACCCAGTACTAAGAGTACAGATGTGTACCACAACCATAGGCATTATAAGGTTCTGGGAATCCACACTCAGATCATAATGTTTGCCTGGCAGGCAAACTTTACTGACTGACCCCTTCTCTAGATCACACCTTTTGCTTTGCTGAGCTTGCTTTGAATATCTTCTCTGGAACAAACAATGCCCAAGGATAAAATCACGTGCTAACCTCTCTGTTTCCTCCTAGTGACTTACCATGCCTAGGAGTGGTCTCAGGTGCCCCTAGCATATACACCATCCACTGTGATTCCCAGAGCTTCCTTATAATCTATGAGTTAAGATGAGGAATTCACATTTTGTAAGGGCCAAACAGGTTGCACTATATTAGGCATTCAAAAGGGTTACAATCAGGATTCAAACAGTTCAAACTTGAGCCCATGAATAAGGTGCACACAACTCATACGGCTCCTAATCCAATGTTGCTGGAAGAGAGACACTGCACTGGATATATAAGGATCTTCATCACTGTATCTATTTATGACTCATTTTTAAAAATAGCTCTTCTTCAATAGGATGAGAATAACACAAGGGTAGGATCATACTTGCATTGATGACTCTCTAAGTGCCTGGTAGAGTCCCTCACCTACATTAAGAACTCAATAAATATTTCCTGAATGACTTAGTGAATGGTTAAGCATTTCCTGTGTAGTTCATTTCTATTGGTACCCAAACCCTGTGAGGCCAAACAGTGCTTTGACTTAAGCCATTTTGAAGTTGGAATTAATCTAGAGGTTATGTAGTACAGATTGGCACTGTAGCGACATAATTGATCTATAGTCCGAGTTATTTCCTATACATTGTTATTATATACCACTGTTGTTCTTTCCACTAGAAGATAAAATAGCTCACTGTCTGCCAGGAGTTCTTTAGGAATGTGCTATTTACATACAAGAATTTACACAATCACTGAGTTATGAATAGGAATGAGTTTTTCATATCCATTTAAACTCTTTTAAATATGTAATTTTCATTCTATGTGACACATTACTAGAAAGACATTATGGAGTACATGGTGGTCCCTGCTTATCCATTTTCACTTGGCACAATTTCAGTTACCCACAGCCAATTATAGTCTGAAATTATTAAATGGAAAATCCAGAAATGAACAAAAAAATCCTAAATCTTCAACTGCATATTGTTATGAGTATCATGATTAAGTGTTGTACTGTGGCTATGACTGACTGTCCTAAACATAACATGTCATACTTTTATTCAGTATATCCGTGATATATATATATATATATATATATATATATATATATATATATATGTGTGTGTGTGTGTGTGTGTATTATGTATGTATGTATATATACACACACACATATATATGCAGTATCTGTACATAAGCATTAGAAAACAAATGGTATAATCAGGGTTTGATACAACTTGTGGTTTTAGGAATCCTTTGGATGTTGGAATACTTTCTTCATGGATAAGGAAAAGGCTTCTGCTAAAATAAAGGCCAGAGAAGTCTTTAAAGCCCTACATATTACTGATGAGGCATGATAAATCAGTGCTGCCCACATCAACATTCCCTTAGCCCACAATCTAGAAACAATATTATTTATGTTTCAGTTAACATGATTCAAGTTTCCGGACAGATAACACACAAAAGCATCCAGTGCTAACAAAACATCCCAGTTTCTTAGTGGCTGTTTCCACCCAGCAGCAGCCAGTGTCACTGAAGCCGACCACAGCACAACACAAAATTGTGTTTATAATATAATGAACATGAAATAACCTTGGATGTACGAAAATAGTCTTTTAAAACATTCCATTCTTAAAGGCAATTGAAACACGTGCTTTTTAAATCCTGCTTGGGCTCTTAGAACAGAGCCAAACACTTAGTTTGATTTATGTGTTTTTCACCCATGGTGTGAAAAATGAACCTAGGACCATCAACTAGATGGGCTTCCATTTTTATTTACTTTTCAGGAATCTCTAAAGCAAAGGGGAAAAGATGTTTTATCTACATGTGATTATGCATGTACACATTTATGTGCACCAACCTATCAGAATGGTGTTACAAAGTAAAGAACCTTGGTAATGTTACCTTGTAGCATGAATCTTAAAGGGTCTTATTCATAAAAACAAACCTGGGGCCAGGTATTGAAGTGAATGCTGAAAGATCAGAGAAACAGAACCAGCCACAGCTAACCTCACCTCCCCAATTCCTCAGCTGATCTCGTTTCCTCAAAATGGAAGCCTCTGAGTCCTCATTCAAATGGATCTCAGCTAAACTGCTGCTCAAAAGCCTAAAAGCTTAACCAGGTTCTAGTTCCTGGTTCTCATGCCTTATATACCTTTCTGCTTCCTGCCATCACTTCCTAGGATTAAAGGTGTGTGTCACCATGCCTGGCTGTTTCCAGTGTGGCTTTGAACTCACAGAGATCCGGATGGATCTCTGCCTCCAGAATGCTAGGATTAAAGGTGTGTGTGCCACTATTTTCTGTCCTCCACATCTATCTGGTGGCTGTTCTGTCCTCTGACCCCAGATAAGTTTACTAGAATGCACAATATGTTGGGAGACACAATGTATCACCCCATTACCTATACATTTAAAATATGCAATCTATTTCAGCATCATGAAATTAAATTATAATTGAATGTGCATCCCAGTGCTTTGACTTGGATGATTTTAGGAGCCACAATAAACCTAGCTTCAGCTCTACACTCTAGAAAGTGAAAATGCACACCTTTAATCCCAGCACTTGGGAGGCAGAGCCAGGAGGACGCCTGTGAGTTTGAGGTCAGCCTGGTCTACAGAGCAAGAACCAGGACAGGCACCAAAACTACACGGAGAAACCCTGTCTTGAAAAAACAAAACAAAAACAAAACAAAAAAAAGTGAAATCTTGACAGATGGAGTTGCCCACTGGGAAAAGGGGGAGTCGAGGGCTACTCATTGCTACTTACAAACCACGTGCAGGAAGAGGACAGCTGTATCAGAGCCAAGGCTGTTCTCTGCATAGGCTGTCACCTGGAAGATCCCCGCACTCTTGTACACATGCTTGATGCCATCCTCAATGGGGCTGAAATTGGCATAGGACACAGCAATCCCATCCCCAAAGTCAAGCTGGATGTTTGTCCTTTGGAGGTCACCCTGCAAGGAAACAGGAATTGGTCTGGTTCCCTTCACAAGATTCTGTTTGACTTTTATCTGATACTAATTCTCAAACTTCAACACTTCAACCCTGAGAACCTACAGTGCTCTCTCCTTAGTACAAGCTAATATTCATGAAAAGCTGTGGGCAAGGGCTGAGAATCTGCATGTCCAACCTTGGGGCTGCTTGATTTGGTAGGACTCTGGCAATAGTGGTAAGGAAGAGGGTATCCATTATTCTGAAATGGAAAGACCAAGTACTCCAGACCCCTCATAAACATGGCTTAATTCTTCTTCTGTGTTATGATAATATTAGCAATAAAGAAATAGCTAGAACTGTTACATAGTTTCATAACAAGCCAAGCAGTTAGTCCCCTCAACTTTATGTTGTAGAAAGTTTTTATTTGAACTTTGTGCCCATTTCTCTGTGGGATCATATGTGTGTATGAACATTCAGAGTAAAGTAAGTAATGTTTTAGTAATAGAAAGTATTAGCAGAAGAAAGTATTACTGTCCTCACTTTAAAGTGGGGGTAAAATATCATCTACATTAAAGTCACACGGCTAACAGCAGGAAGAACCGAATTTTGAATCCAGATAGCCTACTTCCTATACCAATTCCTTTAATTACCATAATTTAATGCCATAATTTTCATTATTCTTATTTTTGGATGTCTGTTATTTAATTTAAGAGCTATGCTAGTCACTTAACATGTATTAAATACCATCTTTAAAATAACAATAGAGGGTAGATCATTATTTCCACTCTAGAGATGAATCCTGCATGCTATCTAAATTACTTTTGTTTTCTTGCTTAGGGTTTCCTGAAACCTGCCTACGCCACTCTCTCTCCCAAGGCCTCTGCTAAGTGTTCAGCCCACAGATGTCTCGGCCTCTTGGAAGTCCAAGCACACCTTGGATATTGCCTCTGACATGATATCCAGTGTCTCAGGTGAGTGCATTATCACCTCAAAGCTGACTGTTAGCCTCTCAAGGGTAATGTTGAATTCCATCCTTACTAAACACCCCATAGTGAATCAACACTTTGGGTAAACATATAATGTAGACCATACAATATAGATCTAGAATGAAGATGGTTAAAAAAAATCTGTTTATATACTGAGATGGAAGATGTAATAAAGAGAGAACTGTACTCTGGAATTATTAACTGACATGGTTTGGATATGAAGTGTCCCCCAGAAAATCTTGTATGTTAGAGGTTAGTCTCCTGCGAGAGATGCCATTGGGCAATGTTTTAAAAACTTTAGGAAGTTTGACTTAAATCTCTCTCTGTCCCTCTGTCTTTCTCTCTGTGTGTCTCTCCCTGTCTGTCTGTCTCTCTCTTGTACTCATGCTTGCTTGCTCACTCTCGCTCTCTCTTTCACTCTCTTCTGCTTTTCATCATAAGTGTGGAAGCTCTTCCACTATATTCACCAACGATGAACACGGGGCAACTGGAGACCATGAACTGAATGTTCTGAATCTGTGAGGCAAAAATCCTTCTTCTTAGAAACAAACCTCTGACTAACACACAAGCCAAAACCTCTGCCCAAAGCCTGTGCACTGGTCATAATTTCACTTTACATCTCTCCCACGATGGCAGCATAGATGTGAATGAAATACTGATGGGTGCTCTCTTAACCCTCATACAATGTCAACTACCCTTGAGTTTATAAATGTAAATTAAAGTGGAAATGAACTGGAGGCAATTGAAATGGATAAGATCGTGGCTCTTCACATCCATTTGAGAAAGTTTTTATAGCTCTGGTCCTGAAAACTCTCTAGTGGAACTGTGATAATGACCTCCTCTGAATCTCCAAGTCCTCTAATTCAAGTATCAATGTGAGTGAAGGATGAGGCATCTGCCAGGCCAGGATAAGAAGCCTGCACCTTCCTTCGAAGTGTGGTTTGGACTTTAAAGGCTCTGAAGTGCTCAGACTAGTGAGGAAAAAAAAAAAAAAAAAAAAAAAAACTCCTGGCTTGCTTTGCTCCCTTTCGAAGATCTCAAGAGCCCCAAGCAATTTGCATATAAATTTAGAGGGCATTGTCAATCAGGCAAGCCTTCCAGCTCTATCAGTCCAGCAAAGAGTGCTAGGAAACTCCCTGGTTTGGGCAGAAGGAACATCTCACACTGGGAGCAAGAACCAGGTAAGTGGACTGGAGTGACAGCATACACTCAGATTTTACTGCCTGGACTTCCAAAGACATTAAACCAATGAGCTAATGAAGTCAGCAGCTGATGTAGAAGCAGCCAATGCTGTGCTGTATACAACCATTTCAATCATCTTCCCCATCCTCTCATTCACATGTTTCAGGCTCTTTAAAGGCTTGCGGGTTCTTCTAATTAGTGAGTCTAAGGATTAGAATAAAGCAAGAGAGGCTCTGAAAGTCCACAGCTATAATATGAATTTCCATTTTCCCCCTCACAGTTTACAGGTTATATCCTAAAAGTGATAAGAACATATCCAGATAGGTCATAATGGCACAAGCTACAATCCCAGTACTCAGGAGGAAGAAGCATGTAGAAGACAAGTTTGAATGAACATAGGCTGCACTGTGAGTTTAAGTCTGGCCTGAGCTACACAGTGAGTCACTATGTCAAAAGAATCAAGATGAGACTGTCTCAAAAAACCTAAGGGCTGTGGCTATTGCTCAGAGCCAAGGTCCTGAGTTCAATTCTGAGCATAGAGGATGAAAGATGGATGGATGGAGGGAGGGAGGGAGAATGAGAGCAAGCAAGAAGGAGGGTGAATGAGTGAGCATGCAAGCAATCTATCCCAGAGGCACTCTGAACTGGGTCTTTATTACAGATGAATGGAGAGGGTTTCTGAATAGGTATTATTTCCTGCCTCTTCTCTCACTCTTGGCATAAAAGCTGGTAAAAATGACATCTCTGTTTCCCTTTTTCTGAGATCAAGGAATTGTCAGCATGTGGGTTCTGACAGCAGATACCCAAGTAGTCACCTACCTCTTCCATTAGAATGATGAAGGTTGCATTCTGACCCTGCTCTGCCACCAGGCGCCCATCAGTGGTAACCACGTGGAGGCCCCGAGGAGCTTTTCCAGGACACAGCTGAGTCTTAGCAGAGTATTTCTCCCTTAACCCATCTGTGCAGTTGTTGGACACAATCCTCCGGTACCTAAAGAGATTGGACAAAAGACACTTTTGACAATGCTGCAGCTTGTAGTGTGTGTGTGTGTGTGTGTGTGTGTGTGTGTGTGTGTGTTAGGAAGGGAGGGTAAGAGAAAAGAAGCAAGCAAAAATAACTTCTCACAGTTGCTCTTAAAAGCCAAGCCTCCAAAACTACAGCTATTCACAAAGACAAACAATACTCAGGAGCGGCTATCCCTCCATCTCAAGAAGGCTAGCTCCTTAAACATTATTATTGATCCCACCTAGTGCACCAGGGATCGGATCAGTGTCTAAACCAGCCAAGAAAAATCAATGCTGGCTCCCACACAGAACAAGAGGAGGCGTGCACAGGGCTGGTGAAGCAGGAAAAGCAAGCGCACCTCTGTCAGCTAGAGGCCCATTCTATTTCCCCATGGCCACCTCCAACTTTCTTTGTACCAGGAAGCAGTTAGATTACGAAACTTCTAAGTCCCCACAATCAGACAGCTTTTCCCTATCTCTGCTCCATCCCAGGATGTCATTAGTGGGACAATGTAAAACGAATTGCTAAACAGTTTTATTAATAACAACAACAAACCCTGGACACAGATATTGGGGTTAAAGCTGAAAGAACAGAGAGACAGAACAAGCCACAGTGAACCTCATCTTGCCAACTCCTCAGCTGATCCTGTTTCCTCAGACTGAAAGCCTTGAATCCTCACCCTGAAGGGATCTCAGCCGAATTGCTTAAAAGCCTTCTAGGAAATCCTCAGCCCAAAAGCCTCTGAGTCCTCACCCAAAAGGGTTTTTTTTTTTTTTTTTTTTTTTTTTTTTTTTGGTTTTTCGAGACAGGGTTTCTCTGTGTAGCTTTGCGCCTTTCCTGGAACTCACTTGGTAGCCCAGACTGGCCTCGAACTCACAGAGATCCGCCTGGCTCTGCCTCCCGAGTGCTGGGGTTTTAGTTGAACAGCTTACAAGCCTCTAGTTCCTGGTCCTCATGCCTTATATAACTTTCTCCTTCCTGCTATCACTTCTTGGGATTAAGGGTGTGTGTGCTTCCCAGTACTAGGATTAAAGGTGTGTGCCACCACTACCTGGCTCTGTTTCCAGTGTGACCTTGAACTCACAGAGATCTGGATGGATCTCTGCCTTTGGAATGCTAGGATTAATGGCATGTGTTACCACTGCCTGACTTCTATATCTAATATAGTGCCTGGCTTTGTCCTCTGATCCCCAGATAAGTTTATTAGGGTGCACAATATATTGGGGAACACAATATATCACCACAGGACATCTAATAAAAATTAAAAAAAAATGAAAATGGTAACTTTTACTCTGGAGCCCCTGGGCTATTTAATAATACATTTCCCCATTTGCTAAATCCTTATTTCCTCCTCAACACAAATGTCACGTTAGAAGCACAGGTCTGAAACCCCTATTCAACTTTGCTACAGTAAGATTAGTTTACAAAATGGGCTAGCCTGGGGAAAATCTGCCAACTTCTATGGTAGCACCATCATATGTACAGTGGTGTCATGTCAATTGCCTTGACCCCTGACCCAAGAGCTTGCCTGCAACCTGATCAGCCACAGGGATATTACTTCCAGGAAGTCCATGATCTAGTCATCATCTCTAAAATTGGTGTTCTAAGAAAACCACAAAAGAAACGTCACACTACTACCACTCTTTCCATCATCACCACCACCACCCACCACAACCACTGCCAACACCACTGCCGTCATCAAGTCTTGTCTTCTTTCATCCTCTGTATCAAGAATAATCAGTCCATCCATGGTGTCTTATTCTAAAAGACCCAAAGCCACAAAACACTAATGATACAGGTCCTGCATCATATTTGACTTTTGCTCCTTAACACCCCCACGTCTGAATCACCCAACCTGTAGATGGAAGTTTCCCTGTGTCCTGCCTGGACCCTCTGGCGACACCCACCCTATCTACACCTTCTTCTGGAGATACCAAGTGATGCAAACCAAATGCTGTAGATAGCTCTTGGCTCAAATGAAATTACAATACATCATTATCAACTGTCAACTGAGCTATATCTGAATCTTTATGATCCAGTATGGCAGCTGCTATCTACACATGGCTATCAAAGGGTAGAAATGTAGTTAGTATAGCACACTGAAATGATATATCACATCAAACAGTGTTACAATCATTTTCACCTCTAATTGTTTTAAACATGACGAGAAATTTACAATTATATACACGACTTATACTGTAGTCCTTTTGATCATTGCTGATTTAGTTAAATCAAACTATTGTAAGTTAATATTTCTGGGTTATCTTTACTTATAAGATATTTAGTTTTTACTCAAGATCAGCATCTTAGAGCTACTTGTGTCATAGGCAAACTTTATGTCAACCACTTCCTTTGTTAGCTGGCCACCATGTTAACCCTGTTGGTAATGTGTAATACAGTGTGATAATGTGTAAGACTTAGGAAAACTGGAGGTGTCTCTCTAGTCCTATAAGAATTCTTTGAGGGAGGAAGTAAATAGATTTTTCATCTCCCTGACTTATTTAGTTAACTATCTGCTATTTTGGCATACATATGTTGCTTAAAACTAGATCTAGCTCTATATGCCCCATGATTGTTGTGCTATTTTAATTATACTGAAATGTGATTTTATTTGTATGTTAATAAATAAAGTTTGTCTGGAGATCAGAGGTCATTAGTAAGTCAAGAATAGAAGTCAGGTGGTGGTAGCCCACATCCTTAATCTGATCACATGGCAGACAGAGTCTCTATGGTTGATACTGGGATTAAAGACTCAAAGGTCACCACGCTTGGCTCTGTCCTTGACCACACAGAGACTCTGTTGTGGTCATATGAAATGTCCTAAGAGAAATCGTTTCTAATGATTTCTAAAGGATGCCAAGGTTAGAAGCTGGCTTTTGCAGATGATTCCATGTGACCATTATGTTCTCCTCCTTGTTCTCTGACAGGACATCTCCTTAAGTTGAAAATGTTCAATTTGCATTGAAAGACTTAAATCTTTAAAAACATATTCCTACAAAACCACTACATTAAGGGACTGAAATGCCCAGAACGGCATCTAGGAATGAGTCCCCTAGAATCAAATATTTTCCCCAAATGTCATGGTTTTAGAGTATTTCTACTCAACACAGCCATCCCATCATGTTTATGCTTCCTTAGTAGACAGCAGATTTTTAGATTGTACCTACTTTGCAACCACACAGAGTCAAAGTAAAAGAAGTTAAATAACTTGATTAAGATGGTAGACAGAACACTTGCAGAGGTGAGCATGAAGTCCAGAGAGCTCAGTGTCTTTGCTTCTTTGAGAGTGGAGTCGAACACTCATATCCTCTCTACCCTTTGGGAGATTATTGCAAAGGAAGAAATCAGCTTTCCTCTAGATCTCCCAAGTCAGAAGCTGACTCACAGAACCTCAGATAACAATAAGATGTATCAGAACATGAGAAGTATGTCACAGTCCCATCTGCCTACTCTACAGATCTTTCATGAGTCATAGAAGCAGTAAAGGAAAGGGCAAAACAACACATCTCCTGAAAATGCTTTGCCAAGTGTTTGAGGATAACTCCTAAGTGAACAGTCAGAGCACAACAATTAGACCATTACCCCAAACCTAACAGAGCATAAAGGAGTACTGACTGATGGATGAGATCACGTGCACTACTATCCATATAGTAACCCCAGACTACTCTGAGCTTTTAGCCCACTTTATTTATTTTTTGGACACAAACTTACCCTATCTACACTCATCATTTTCAACGAGATGCATTACATTAAATTTCATCTTCAAGAACAGACAATAACGAGTTGAGTTTCTTCAGTTATTTGACTCACCCAGTGCTATTAAGGTAGCTTTGGCCAAGGCTGCAGTCCTTTGAGGGGGAAGCTGGGTTGTACCAGAAAGCTGGGACACACTGGCTCTCCCCATGTCTCTCATAGCCATAGTCACTGTCAAGAAAATAAACAGGGTACAATGATATGTATGTTAAATGTTAAAATACCCACAGGCACACATAAATATATACATGCCCCCCTGCCTCCCCAGAGTCATAATTCATTGTTTTAATTAGCCCCAGTGAGGCAAATACCACACCTGAAAAAAATAATGTTTTTAAAAATGGTCTCATCATTTAAAATTATAGTCTAAAGAGAAAAATGGATTATTAAAAAAACCATCTAGACTAGAAAGTATATGAATTCAACTGTGTGACAGGTACAATGGCTTGGAGGTGAGAGTGGGGGGCACCATACATTTAAAATCATACTTTGAATCACAGAATTAATTAAATAAGTAAATGGCAACCAGGGAGATGACTTTAAAGGTCAAGGTACATCTCTATGTAATGATTCAGTGTGTACTGTCTGAAAATGATTGCACAGAATTTATATTCATTTTAACTTTAAATCCAACTGCTTTCAAGCTTTTGTGATGTGATGTGTGTGTGTGTGTGTGTGTGTGTGTGTGTGTGTGTGTGTGTGTATTCACATGTATGCCAACAGAAATTCAAACTTCTCTTGATTAGATAGGAGATCTATACTATCTTAAAAATAAAATAAAACTTGAGTTCTGTTCCATGCTTCCACAGAGTCACAGCCACAGCATCTGAGTAGTAACATGCCCCTGCTTCTGGAGTTGTATAAGGTGCTTAGATGTGTAAATGTCAAAATGTAGGAGTAATAATGTGGGTGGAGGGGATTATGCTCTTACAGCCAGCTGGAGCTCACTGAGAGCACCCTCTCTCCATCCATGTTTCTACACTCAACATCAGAAGAGAATCCCTGGAGCCCAGACAGCACAACCTCATCATCAGAATATCGCTCCACTGAGTGTCAAGGAAGCATGAGACAGATTGGCAAGCCGTTCTCTGTGCTGTGGTACATTATATCTGCTCCCATAGTCTTTGAAAGTAAGTTATCTGAGTGAATGCAGGACAGGAATGGAAGGAATATGGGTATTCAAATGCAATGATACCTCATTTATCCTTCATTGTATGTCATGACCTATCAAACAAATGTGACAAGATCTGTCCTCAATTGTTTCTTCAGTCCTTAAAGGAGATATCTCACACCCCAGACCTAACACAGCAGAAAGAAGTACTGACTGATGGATGAGATCATGTACATTACTATCCATGTAGTAACCCCAGACTACCCCGAGCTATACCTTTTAGCCCACTGTATTTATTTTTGTATGTTATACCTTGGGTATGGATCACTGCACCTTCTGTGTTTTGCAGTTTCTTCTTTATTCTTCTCTCATATTTAGGTTATATAAGCCTATATCCCTAGTTCACTAGCACACAGTTTTCAGGGCTACCATATGTTGGAAACTATTTTGTCATTTATTTTCACCAGTTAAATCATCTATAATAAATGTTATAAGGTGAACTAATGTCATAATTGCACTAAAACACAGTCTCTCCAATTACCCCACTGCATTGTGTCGATTTCTGTAAGAAGATTGTGAGGCTTCATTGACACTGTAGGGTTAACTTCAGAAAGTATCTCCAATGCCCAAAATGTGACCAGAGTGGATGTGAAAGGCAGATTGCAAGAGCAGCTTTGATACAACCATGCTTCAATGAAGCTGGAAGAAAGGAAAGCAAAAGAGACACTTCTGCCAGGTGAATCCTTTGACAAGGGTCTGGTCCACTAGTAGTAGAGGATCTTGGCCCATAGTTCATCCAGTCTTAGTGTAGCTTGAAATAGCCTATGAAATCTGGTCTTAAAATTTGGGGAATTTTGTCAGGTAATTAATGATTGTTAAAGCAATTAATAAAAATTAACTTATATGACATTTCATTCACATAAATTATATTTGAAAGTCAATAAAAATACACAAAACACATAAGAGCCTACTGCTTTACTGCATTTTAGTTTTATATAGTTGTAACATACTGTATATATGTTACTACATACAACATATGCTAAGTTACATATGAATATTGTTATATTATTTATGTCTCAAGGTCTTTTCTATCCATGTATTTGTCTGGTAGGAATACTACATAAAGTGAGGCTACTGCCTAGCTCTTCTCCATTCCTCATTCATTGGTATAATGTTGAAACTGGCCATTGTGGAAATCCATTCAGCACTCAGTGATTGTTCCCTAAGAATTAAACATTTGTCAGCACACCACTGAACACTGACTTCCCAAGCATTCTTTATGCACAAAAACACTGGGCTGTGGTATACACATACTACTCCTAGAAAACTCCCCTTATGGCTTTATGAAATGAACCTGTTGACCGATCCTGCTGACCCTAGAAAATATTGGGAATTTGGGAAGGAAGGATGCTTCTCTTAAGCAGCCTTGGGGAAGATAGAAATGTTTTCAAGGCTCTTTGCAAAATGTAACCATCCTCAGCAGTTCTGTTCAGCTCTGCTACCTGTTGGCACTGCAGTAATTAAAAAAGGTGCATCAAGCATGCTGCTCTGCCCCAAAGAGCAAAAGCACCTCATTAATATTTACCAACACTAACCGAAGCTGGCTGCCTCCAAGCTGTGGACTTCTTCATTAATTTCTGCTAAATGCATATTAAACTCTTTCACACTGTCCAGCCTCCCTCCCAGCTGATGAGTCTGCAGGATTTAAACAAACAAACATCGGCTGCTCCAGCTTCCTGGGGAAAGGTGTGAGCCCATGAATTGTGAGATTTGAACAGAATACAGCAGAAAGTCTGATTTGCCTCAGGGAGGTATGCTTCCAGATCCCACACGCACAGACAGGCAGTTTACCTCAAGACATAATTTACCCCTGTGTGTTGCTTGATTAGAAAAGCAGTAAAACGTCTACCTGTTTAGGGGAAAATCTGTCCATTTCTAAGAATGTGTATATGATCCGAACCCCACCTAAGGAAAAGCCTCAGATTCAGAAGGAGGAATGAACAAGAATAGTTCAGAAATCAAAAAGTGTGTGTCATCATAGAAAATGATGTTTTGCAACATAGATCTAATCCAGTCTGCTTGTGGACTGAAAAGGAACAGGTGAAAGAGGATGAAGGACTTGCTGGACATTGCACAAAGCCCCTTCCGGCATACAGCGGTGATCAAGACTGCTGAGGTGTGTTTAATGTTAGTATAGTCGCAAGGGCTACTACTTAGTCAGAACGTGGTCCCTGTTCCCTAAGAAGAACATTCTGGAATTGAAAAAATGTGTGTGTGTGTGTGTGTGTGTGTGTGTGTGTGTGTGTGTGTGTGTGTGTGTGTGAGAGAGAGAGAGAGAGAGAGAGACAGAGACAGAGACAGAGACAGAGACAGAGACAGAGACAGAGACAGAATGTACACATGGGTGCAAGTAGTGCAAGTGCCTGTGGAGGCATTGGATCCCCTCGAGCTAGATGGAGTTAGAGGTGGTTGTGAGCATTCATTGTGGGTGCTAGGAATTGAATTCAGCTCCTCTGCAAGAACAGTGCATGTTTCTAACTGTTAGATCTGTCTAGCCCATTCTCAAACTCTTGACCAGTCAGAAAGCCAAGGTCTCTTCCCAACAAGCTTCAGGGTGTGTAAGTGTCAGGCCAGGCAGAGAGCAGCACGGTGCCTCTGACTTCTCTCTCCCTCTACTTTCCCACCTAGCAGCTGAGATTCCAGGATGGAGGCCTAATATGTACTTTGATCCCATTTTATGAGTGTGTCAGGATGGGCTTAGGACCAGGTTGATCTTTTCAGGCACAGTGTGAGCACTCACGAAACAGAAGCAGCTACCACAAGAATAATAACTATCATCCCCATTGGGTAAGGCATGAACTCAAATGAAACCATAGAAAAAGAAATCACAATATCTTAGCCAAAAATTACTCAGACTGACAATCACCCCTTAAGCATTTCTTTTTATCTAATCCCATTAGAGACACCTGACTTATCCTTATCTTTATCCTGCTGACAGCTTGCTAATATATCTGCTCTGTTTAAATCAGAGTGTCACCCACTTCCCTAAATATATGCTTATTTTATTTAATAAATGGTATAGCTCCATTACCACTCCCTGAAAGAAGCCATCCATGATTACATGTCATCTCTTTGTTCAGTGATGGCTTTGCTCTGACCACCTCTCCACCTGTGATAAAAGCCAGCTCTGTCCAACAGAACTTTCTACAGTGGAAATATTTCAAATAGGTATGTTCCACTGTGGTAACCACTAACCAGTGCAACTAAGGAACTGTATTTTAATTTAATTTAATTTTAATGTAAACAATCACATGTGACCAATGGCTACTAATGGACTCAGATCATAAAACTCAATACTTTATTATATTCTTTTTGTTTTCTGTTATGTCATCTTCTGGTGCAATAACTCTTATTTATACATTGTTTATTGTCTTGTTTATACTTTAGGTAGTCCACTATAGAAAAAAAACATGCTAACTTATGTTCAATATGTATAAAACCAAAGGCTGAATGGACCATAGGTACACCTGAAATTATGTGTGTGGCATCCCCAAATTCCTTTCCCCGTGTCTTCTGGATAATCTCACCCTGTGGATATGGCTCCATACTCACCACGAAGAAACCACCATGGCATTCTAAGTCTCAGACCTCAGAAATTAGAATATTATTATCTTGAGTGAATGGAGCTATGTAGAAGATGCCCAACTCTTCTAAGAGCTAGATGAGAAATTATTATTCATGTAAACGGCTACTACAACCTAATACATAACAGGTACTCAACAAAAGTTAGCAATAAATGAGCAAAAAGAGTGCATAAAAAAGGGGGATTACTTCCTGTGTTATCACTGGCAGATATCTTCCTCTTCCAGAGGGCTAGCCTTACTGGGGTCCACACAGGGCTTTGGAGCAAGTCCCTCTCTAGCACCTGAGACTCTATTGGCAACTTTATTCCTCTCTTGTGTGGGCATTAGTTCCTGTGCCTCGCCCAGGCCCTGGTGAAGGCTGCTTTGGAGTAGCTCTTCATAGCAAATTTAAGGCTGGGAATCTTTTAGGCTCCTAA